CCTGTACAGAGATTCATTAATGAAAATAACAGATAAAATAAAAATTTTTTCTTAAAAAAACGTTTGGTAACTATCTAGACATTATAAAGATTTTGCGTGTGAAATTTGAAAATGTTCTGATGCATAACAGTATTTTTTATCGTAAAATGAACATTACTTTGCATGTTGGATAGGCAACATGTGAAAAGAAAAAGAAAGGCATGAAAAACATTGCCTTACAAACCTTAAGATTTAGTAAAAAATTTGATATTTTGTGTATGAAAGCATTGTAAAGTTTACTGATAATCTGCCAAATTTCGTTAACATATGCTTACTAATTTAAAAGCTATAGCATGAAAACTATAACAAGCACAAAATGGTTACAAGGTTCGTCTCCAGGGACTGAACCTGTGCTGAAAGGGTTAAAGTCTTTATAGTTTAGATACTACTAACTTTTAATATAGTATGTATATCTTCACAAACTTTCAGTAAACATTAGAAGTCTTTCACATACAAGAAATCATATATTTTAGTGAAGTATTTTTAATAAACTGAAATAAGACTTGTTCGTGAATATATCAAGTATTTGTTTTGACTAATCCATGTGCAAAGTGATTTTCACGTTAAATTTTCACTCTAAAACCTTTTAAATACATTTCAAATGTTTGTTTTCAGTAAAACTTTATATTTTATCAGTTATTTTCTCTATCCTAACTCAAGATTGGTCAGTTTGACTGACCTCGTAACTACCAAAAAAAATCTAAACTACCCTTTTTTCTTTCTATAATGATCTCAAATTGTAACATGAACCTAAATTTGTTTATCCTAAGTAGCTTTAAACTAGTAACAGTATACATCTATTAATATTTAAATTTTATTGTTTTATTGCTCATGTCCAACTATAGTTCACACCATTATAAGTTGTAAGTCATATGGGGAACATGGAGCTCACGTTATGTTATCGAACTACATTACCCACAAGCTGCTTGTGTGCATGCTTCATGGAACATTTTTATTATATTAATATCTTAATTTATTTTACCTATCTAACCTAAAAATTTCCAATTTTTACATTTTAGTTACTTTTATAATAATAAATATAGAATAAACATGAATAACAAGAATTAAAATACTTACCCGGATCTTATTTTTTGTTGTTGTCAACTGTTGATG